AGAATTTATGCAGGGATAAAGCATTTCATCTCATTGAATCTTCAGTTTCCTTATCCATAAAATGAAGGCATTGGAATAGATTATTTCTGAGGTTCCTTCTGTCTCCGAAAGTGAGGCTGTGTTTTCAGGGTCTATTGCTCACTCTGATGGTAAAAGGGACTCTCTCTAGATATCTATTCGTGCTCTGGGCCAACAACAACACAGTCTCACAGTAACTTCGGCTGTTGACTATTCCTTCTCCAATTCACTTTTTAAACTAATTCAATCCAATTCTGTGTTGTTTTAGGTGATAAATCACTGAAGGGTTTTAGATTTTTAAAACTTGAAGACTTTCTCACTGTTTCGCTTCTCTGAGTGGATCCTTTCCACTCATAAATCTCTTATAAAAATATCGATAGGATGCTCAAGGCTTTTCGTCTTGACCTACCTGCCATGACCTAGAATTACATAGTTTTTTAAAAAACCTGTATTTTCTATGTCTTTCATTTCAATGGACAATGCAATTTTTATGTTAAAACATTTTCTGTACTTTTTCACTATGCCATGATCTCTTTAGATTTTTTTTTTTTTTTTTTTTGAGGCAGAGTCTTGCTCTGTGCATGGACTAGAGTGCAGTGGTGTCATCATAGCTCACAGCAACCTCAGACTCCTGGGCTCAAGCAATTCTCCTGCCTCAGCCTCCCAAGTAGCTGGGACTACAGGTGTGCACCACCATGCCCAGCTAGTTTAGATTTTCTTTTTTACCCAACACAGTAAATTGTTCTGTTTTTTCCTTGGACCTTCTCTTGACACTTAAAATACAGTCTTGTTCCCTTTCTATACTTAAATTTCTCACCTGTTTCTTATAGTGCTCTAAACTCTAAAATTCTTGCATCAAAAGATGGGGCCAGGTTTACATTCAGGGATCCTGTTTATTTTCCTTACCTTCAATATTGTTTCATGCTTTAGGGTAACTAACTAGGTCAGCGTAGACATGTCTTACCTGAAATGAAGAACAGTGCCTGGCTTATTACTAGGCATGGCTTATACTAGGCATTCATAAAATACATGTTACATGAGTGAATTTATCTCATAATCCCATGAACACCCATGAACTAAGAAGTGTTAAGATACTTAAAAGCAAGAAAGTCATTGGCCTAGGGAAAGACTTTATGAAGAAGACTCCAAAAGCAATCACAGCAACAACAAAAATAAATAAATGGGACCTGATCCTATTTATTAAAAAGCTTCTTCAAAGCCAAGGAAACTATCACTAGAGCAAATAGACAACCTACAGAATGGGAGAAAATATTTGCATGCTACATATCCAATAAGGGCTGATAACTAGAATCTATATAGAGCTTAGGCAAATCAACAAGAAAAAAACAAACAACCCCATTAAAAAGTGGGCAAAGGACATGAACAGAAACTTTTCATAAGAACATAGACTAATGGCCAGCAAACGTATAAAAAATTGCTCAACATCTCTAATCATCAGGGAAATGCAAATCAAAACCACAATTAGATACGACTTAACTTCAGTGAGATTGGCTTTTATCAAAAAGTCCCAAAACAACAAATGTTGGCATGGATGTGAAACGGTCATACACTGCTGGTGGGACTGCAAACTAGTACAACCTCTGTGGAAAGTAGTATGGAGATACCTCAAAGAATTAAGGTAGAGATACCATTTGATCAAACAATCCCACTACTAGGTATTTGTCCAAAGGAAAAAAAAACATTTTATAATAAAGACATCTGCACTCAAATGTTTATAGCAGCACAATTCACAATTGCAAAGATGTGGAAACAACCCAAGTGCCCATCAATACATGAGTGGATTAATAAAATGTGGTATATGTATTCCATGAAGTTACTACTCAGCCATAAAAAAACAATAATGAATTAATACTTCTTATATTATCCTGGATGGAGCTGGTGCCCATTCTTTGAAGTGAAATATCACAAGAATGGAAAAAACAAGCACTGCACATACTCACCACTAAATCGGTACTAATTGGTCAACACTTATGTGCACACATGGAAGTAACATTCATCGGATGTAGGGCAGATGGGGGGGGATAGAGGGGATGGGTAAATTCACACCTAATGGATGTGGTGTGCACTCTCTGGGGGATGGGCACACTTGTAGCTCTGACTCGGGCAGTGCAAAGGCAATAGATGTAACCAAAGTGTTTGTAATATTCTGAAATTTAAAAAAAAAAAGAAGCAAGAAAGGCCAGCCAGCTCTAGGGTTTTAGACCAGATTTCACCACCAGGCCTTGTTACAATATAACAGGGGAGAGCCTTCCATTAATACCTACGTGGAGTGTTAGTGGAGGGTATAAAAGAGAGCCAAGCCAAATTAGTCACAAGAATTTATTGAGGTATACAAAGTTATGTACTGATTTATTAAAACAGAAACCTTGATTTCTTAACACCTGAAATCAAAAGCTTTCTAAACTAGAATGCCTAGACAAGCTCACTACATTGTAGTTTGAAACTCTCCCATGGGGCTATACATGTTCTAGATACTTAACGAGTAATTGCTGAGTGAATGGTTGGCTGGATGGAATGAATGTCTAACAGGAAGATGAAGGCATAGAACCTGAGTGCACAACACAGGAGAGGAGAAAAGACTTGAGAATTGGAGTCTTGGCTACTCCTCTACCTAACTGTGTGATCTGAGACATGTAGCTTAACTTCTTTGAATTTCTGTTTTCTACTCTGTAAAATGGGAATAGACATCCCTACGCCATCAGCCTACGATGAGGGACATTACAAGAAACATAAAACTGTGTTTCCTCTATCCCCCAAGTGTCCTCTTCTTTAAGCCTGGGTGAAGATTTTGCCATCAGACCTCAGTTCTGCTGCCCTAAGAAAACTGGTTTGTTTGTCTTTTATAGATAGAGCGAACTGTATACAACTGATGATACTTTCCTCTTTGCATGAGCTTCCAGAGAACTTGGAGCTAGATTCTCACCCACTTCTAGCAAAGCATGCAGGGTCTTAGGCATGGTTTTAAGTATTAAAGTTCTCCCCTGCTGTCATCTTATTTTGCTGACACTTTCCTTCTCACCAGTTATATCAATTAATTAATTTAACTCCTAGGCTTGGATATAGCTTTGTAACTTAGCTCAAATTATTTTTGGAAAAAGGCATTGTGAAAAAACAGGAAGAAAGGGAGAAGGAGAAGAAGACAAGGAATTCAGTTAGCCAGTGCCTGTCTCTTAGGGTCATTGTGATGTATTAATGAAATTGTTTTTTTTAACACAATTAAGCCCTCAACAGTTTCTGTCATCCTTCAGAAAACCCAGTGGACCAATCAATATCTTCTTGGATACATAAGGCAAATAATAATAAAATAAAATAAAATTTTTATTGATAACAAAATGTATTTTTAAATGAATTGAAATATAATAACATACATATTTCTGTGATTTTCAAATCCGATGAAGAAAGTCACAAGGAAATAGCTTACAGGAGTAGGGGAGCATTTGGGTTTTTTCAACCAAAGACTCTCAGAGTCATTTTTATTTGTTTGCTCTTATTTACATATAAAAGCATGTAAACATGTCATGTTAACATTGACAAACAATTGCTTCGGAAACAAAAAAATTTGAAACCACTGGTATATGTACGTGGCAGGATAGCAAGTGGTGGATAATGAATATGGATTTTCAAAATTGAGTGCAATGCATTCTGGCCTATAGGTTTTAGTGTTAAAATTGTTTCCTTTTTTGTGTGGATGTTGGTTGCCATTAAGAATAAGTACAGCACTATAGAATGATAAAAATATACAAAAGAAAATTAATTTAAAACAACAGCCTGTCACAAATTTAAGATATTTTCAAAAATCGATAACTTCACTGAGATGTCCCAAATATAATTATACTTAGAAATATCCCATCCCCCACACTCCCAGTCCACTTATCCGCTCCCTGCCGGGAAATCCACCAACCTTCCTCAGAACTCCTCTTGGAAACCTGCTGGCGTGGATTAGCTTGGGGCATGGCAAGTATGATCCCTTTCCTCTTTCATTTTCTTTCTATCCACTAGAGGGCAGCAATAATGCATAGGGAAAGGGAAATTCCTCAAGCACTAGCCTTGTTTTTCAGCCTTTCTGCTAAGAAAACACCTAGAAAATGCCTCAGATTCCCATATATGAATTATAAGAGAGTCAGCTTCCCTTTGTCCATCCCTAAATATGTAGGGAACTTTGATTAACTTCCTTTGAAGTTATAAAATGTATCTGTTGGCTTGATCAAACATACTGATTTTAAATATGAACATGAAGATATCTCCAAAAAAGCCACTTATGTAAAAGTTAAATGTTTTAGTTGTGTATTACTGTGTAACAAACTACTCTGAAATGCAGTGATTTAAAACAACATTCACTTCATCATCTCTCTCTGTTCTGTTGGTTGACTGGGCGATTCTGCTCCATGTGATGTTGGCTGTGACTGGTTATCTGGGAGCTCAAATGGGCCAGCAGGTCCAAAGCAGCCTACCTGGGCGGCTGGTGGTTGCTGCTGGCCGTCAGCTGGGAGCTCAGCAGGGATTGTTACCCAGAGTGCCCAGTTCTCCTTCATCGGCTTCTTTATGTGGCCTGAATGTCTCACCGCATGGCAGTTGGGTACCAAGAGAATATTCCAAGAATGAGCATTCCAAGAAGAAGGAAGCAGAAGTTCCCAGAACTTTAATCACTTCTACCGCCTTCTAATTTTCAAAGCAGTCACAAAATCAGCCATGTTCAAGGGGAGGGAAAGAGGTCTACCTCTTGGTGTAGGGAGAGGTCTATGTGTGCAGGGCTGGGAGAAATTGCTGAGGGCCATCTTTGGAGACCACATGGAGGGTTGAGAAAAAACTTATTTCTGACTTACACTTTGGAAAGATAGTTATAAGTCGGGGGGGATGCAGAAGAATATTTCTTCATTTCATAAATGGGAATTGCTTGTTAACATGGTACTTTGAGAATTAAGATGCACAAAAGGCATCCCGTATGTTCTTTTCCTCCCCAGATCTGTTACCTAAAGCAGTACAAGATGGCTAGGGGATCGGTGTCCGATGAGGAAATGATGGAGCTCAGAGAAGCTTTTGCCAAAGTTGGTGAGTAGACCTGCTACCTCAAGTTGCATTGTTTTCTTCTTCACTGAGTAGCTGCAGGATAGATTTGAAGAAATGGTAACATGAACAAAATAGCAGAGGTGGCAGGAAACCAGTGGTATTGGCTAGAGGAGCTTGAAAAATTTATTTTTGATGGATGTGCTTCAAGAAAACTGAGCCCAGGAGTTCGAGGCTGCAGTGAACTATGATGGTGCCACTGCACTTCAGCCTGGGCAACAGAGCAAGACCCTATCTCTAAAAAAAAGAAGAAAAGAAAAGAAACTACTTCTTTCTCTATCAAAACATGGAATAATGGAATATTTCTTTGGTTTCCTTTAATACTATTACATACTTTCTCTTACTCTTGATCACTAAGCCTGTGGTTTAAGAATTTCTATAAGAGCTCCTTATGGAAACAGAGGTTTCTTATAAAACCTTTGTTTTGAAATTATTATGACTGTTTTACTGTGGATGTTGGAAGTGATGCTGGTGCCTGTATCCAATAGCAACAGGCCTCTTGTGAGATTCTTTCTCATGGGGTCAGGCCTTAACCTCTGATGGATAGCCTCCCCTGTCCCTTCACCTCCCATCTAGTCTCCCCTCACCTCTCTACAAGCTGCTACCTGAAGTCCCCTGAAGCTTCAGTACATTGTTTGCATTACAGATACCGATGGCAACGGATACATCAGCTGCAATGAGTTGAATGACTTGTTCAAGGCTGCTTGCTTGCCTTTGCCTGGGTACAGAGTAAGAGAAATTACAGAAAACCTGATGGCTACTGGTGATCTGGACAAAGATGGAAGGCTCAGCTTTGATGAGTTTATCAAGGTGAGTACCATGCAGAATGCAAGGAGACACATTCGCAACTTGGAACTTTAATTCAGTTTGAAAAAATATCCAGCAAGACATTCCTACCCTCCTTGCTTCAACATTACATATTCTTTTCTTTGTGATTTTCTTAATTATTGCTTAGGTTACTAAAAATACATCACATATTTGCAGATTTTTCACGGCCTGAAAAGCGCAGATGTTGCCAAGACCTTTAGGAAAGCAATCAATAAGAAGGAAGGGATTTGCGCGATTGGCGGTACTTCAGAGCAGTCCAGCGTTGGCACCCAACACTCCTATTCAGGTAGGCCGTACGAATGGGTGGGAGCAGAGGTGGAGAGGGTATGGGCATGACGAGAGAGCTGAGGGTGAGGGGAGAGGGCAACGTGCAGAAAGGATTCATGCCTTCTGGTGTCACAGATTCTAAACTTAGGATTCAAACCTGGAGGGTGTAAACGAAAAAGCAAACACGACTTTATGGACGACCACCTACTTTCCTGTGTGTGTGTGGGTCAGGTACATAATATAAGAGCCGTCCTAGCTCCAGGTAGGGTCCAAAACCAAATGATCTCATCAGCATTCAAAAAAATACATTAAAGGCTGCCAAAATTCCTTTGTAAATCTTGTTGACAAAATTAGCTACTTGAGCTGCTATCTTCAAACCTCACGACTATTCTTAACACCTATTGAGTGGTCAAAAAAAACTGTGTTTTCATTGATTTGGAAGAAAGTTGTATATTTGTTCTGAGGGCTGCCATCCAACAGCCTCAATGGAAACTTTCGATGGCCCAAACAGTGCAGTAACCCAACATTTCCCAGCCTGAGTTCTTCAAAACATTGGTTGATCTCAAAGATAAGTTCATGGTTAAATACCATCTATAGTTGCTAAGACAAAGTTTTGCCTTTTATTTTTAAATGCAGGAATTTTCAGAGCCTTTGCCATGTCAAATGTGTGTTATGAATCTTCAAGACAGTGATACGCTATGTAGTGCTTTCCAAACTTTTGTGACTCAGGATTTCTCTGAGGGACATTATTGATTTCGATGACAGACAATTTGGGAAACACAGTGCCAGGCTATAAAGGCATAATGTAAGGCTGTATTAAAGCTTCTAAAATCACCTTGTGGCAGCTTTACTGATAGGAAAGAAAAATTATATCACAAATGATCTCATTTCCTAGCAATTTCA